TGTAATCTGGAGAGGGGGTTACACATAGAGTCTTGATTGACATGCATCATGTGCAAAAATATTTTTAAGGGTACGATATGGAATACATCGCCAGAGAAGACCCCCTATTGTAAAAGCTTTGGGGATTAGTCCTTGGGGATAGCTCGGTTTGTAAGTTCCAGTCTCGTCCATTGTGTGCATGGGATGTATCTTGCGCGGCTTAGCTATCCCGACGAGACTCTGGTAGTATGTCCTTCTAGTGAGAGTGCGTAGAGAGTGTGTCCCGACATGTACTCCTAGACTACTCTTCGTGTATTGTTAGCGGCAATATGCCATATGATATGTTATTGGCGCCACATGCATGATAAAATGTAGTTTGTGTCCATCCATGTGCATTTTAATGTTATATGATAAATTGATATTTTTATGTCTTGAGTGAGTGAGATGTGATATTATTATTAATTTATATATGTTATACATGTTTTGTTTGTGTTTGGCTATCTGATGTATATTCCTACACTGTGAGCCAGAGTGAGATGTTTCTCACTCCATTTTCTTGTGTTGTTTTTCCTTGACTGCCTTACAGGTTATAATTAGCATGAGGCTGAAGATGTTGGTGATGAAGCTTAGGCTTCTATATTGGGATTTGCTCTGATAGGACATGTGACATCAGGCATAGATAGGATTAGATTAAGATGTTTTTATTAAATTATTTTGGAAACTTTAGTTTTATTTCTTTGTAATTTCCGCTGATTTTGTTAAGTTATGAATGTAGTACTCTCTACCTAAACACGTTTGATATTTTGATTATGAAATGTTATGTTATTCAAATTTTATTATTATGTGTTATGGTATGCGGGGTAGAGGTTGTCACACTTCTTAGTAATGATTTTTCTATTTACAACACTTTCCTCTTTTCTTTTTAATGCCTCTTTTTCTACACACCTCCTCTCTCATTTTGATGTTTGAAGGCTTGACCTTTATATAGTAGCTTTAGAGAAGATGATTGTTACAACAATGTTGGATTTAAACGTTTGAATTTCTTCATATGTTGCTTCGTCTGTTTTCTTTGCTAATCCTAGAGATTATCGTTGATGCATTAAATGCCTTTTAGAGAAATATGTATCCTTTATCTGATCTAGGAAGCTACTTATCATCATTTCCTTCTATTTTGAGCATAATAGAGTAGTGTTAGGGAAAAGTAGTTCTAGTTGGTGCAAATCAGTCTTTGTAATGTCTTTTTCATGAGATTTGGGATTTTCTCTTACCATTAAAGATGATATCAAAAGACTATCTATCATCACCAAACTCTTAACTTTATCTCCCACACTACCATAAATTTTGATGTTGAGATTCTAACAAGTGGGGAACAAAATGTTTCAAATCCTCAAGTCATAAAAGAAAAAGAATCTCAAAACCAAAGGAAGGGATAATGCATTCCTACCTCCTAAGGAACCCTTTGAAAGAGATGAGTCTATTTGGGATTCTAAGGGTTAAGGTTAGGAAGCAACTGAAGCCTATTTTCTTCTTTTGTATTGTCAGAACCTGAAAAATTTTGACCTTGCCAACAAATGGTTTGGACCTCCATTTGAAAATCACATCAGCTTTGGATTGTGATGGAATCATGCTTAGGAAGGCAAGAGGTGACAACCTAAAAGATCCAAGAGGAGTGGGCTAGACATGGAGGTTTGGGCCAGTCAAGGCCCAATGGGCCCAATGGGCTTGGAAGGCCCAAGTCAAGTTTCTCATGGGCCAATCTTGATATGACCATTCTTCTTATGTTTTATTGCATATTCATAGAATAGGGATTTACTTTGTTTTGGTCTTGTATTTTGACCATAGATTAGGGTTTGTGAACTTTGGGCTTGTAATTGGGCTTCATGGGCTTTTGATACCCAATATTGGACTCATTCTCTTTCTTTTAATTTTTCCTATTCATTGTATTTCATTGACCATTGTATTTAGGTCATTAGATTAGGATTTAAGGAGGATTATTAGTTTAAGAGAATTAGGCAAAACTAGGTTTAATTTAGTATGCATTTAAGTTGCATTTTGAGTCACATGGAAGGTGCCACCTTGGCTGAACATGTGTGACTCAAATTCAACCCTAAATGCACACTAAATCAAACCTAAATACACCTAGCACTAATGTGAACCGGACTTGTACATGTGTGTTAAGTTTTGAATTCAAATTCAAAATTTGAATTCAAAACTTGGCGCCACATGTGAAGCCTCCACATTGGCGCCAAGTGTTCCTTAATTCCGGATTGCATATAAGCTTCCCTCCTTCACACTTTGCACTCACTTTTGAGTTAATGAAATTTGAGAGCATTTTATGCCAAGTTTCTTCCAAAAGTCACCGAGAAAGAGATAGAGAGAGAGTGCCTTCAAAACCCTAAAAACTTACCTAGTTCCTACCTTTTGAAGTGAGCAATCTCTTGATTGCTTAAGCTTGGATGCTTCCATCCTTGGCTTAGGCCATTTCATCCAAAGAAATCCTCCATTCAAAGTGTTCCTTCTATTCGGTTTCAAGCTTCATTGAAGAGGTCCAAGCTTTGGTGAATTCAAGGAGAAGAACACCTATCACTTCTTCTAGATTTTGCCATCAGATTGCCTGAAAACCAAACTAATCCTCCATCTGATGGTTTTGAAAAGAGTTTGAAGGAGTCACCATCGATATTTTGCTCAAAACATCGAAAAAAGAAAATAGTTTTTGAAAGGTCGACTTTGGCCTTCACAACTAGAGTCAGGTCCAGGGGTTGGTTACATGTAGGGAAGGTGTTAGGCACCCCATAATGCCCAAACTTGATACCTTGTACAAATTTAGCATAATGACAGCATAATTAAATTTCTACCCTTTATTTTATTAAACATGCAATAATTTATATCTACACTATTCCTACTCTACTGCATACATATTACTTTATTGTCTACATGATGCCTATTCTATTGCATACAAGAAAAGCAATAAATAAAACAATAAATAAGAGAGAAGAATTTAGAATCTCTAAAAGTCTTTTATAAATTTTCTCGTAAATTTACACAGGGATGCTTTTTGGCAGCCTTTTTTCTCTACAAGAACCCGTTGGATTGGGCTAGTATCTTGATAGTATCTTCTCAATACATTAATCTTTAACTTCAACGGTTGAATCTTTAAAATTAAATATGTAGTGAGAGGTATTATCAGCACAAAAATGCTGTTTAGAATAAAACTCCTTTCTTTTAGGTGTTGTACGGGGTCTCTAGAGAACTCATTAGCTGTTAGATCATGATGATATTTTGATGGCATCTTCTCAATACATTTAAATTTAACTTCAATGACCGGATCATTGAAATTAGATCTGTAGCGAGAGGTACTATTAGAACAAAAATGTTGTTCAGAATTTTCTTTTAGGTGTTGTATGCGGCCTCTAGAGAAATTGTTCGCCGCTAGATCATGCTAATTCTTTTGATGGTATCTTCTCAATACATTGATCTTTAACTTTAATGGTAGGATCATTAAAATTTGGTCTTTAGCGAGAGATACTATGTGAGAACAAATGCTATCCAAAACAAGATCATTATGCACAACCTAGCGACGGTTTTCACCCCATAGCAAATTTATTAATCGTTGGATAGGGCTAAATTTTGAATGATAACCTCCTGCGATATTTTTCTTCTATCTCAATGGTTGGATTAGGTAAATCTAGTATGAGGTAAGAGATGACCCCTTCTTTATTCATCTTAAGCGTTTATTGCTTCCTTGGAGTCTTCTATGGTCACCCCTCTAGCCTAAAGGCTTATTATTGGTGAGTTGGAAAGGGTAGCTTAACTTGGTTGAGTCATCATTATATATTTATTTGATAAATTTAAATTCCTAATTTAAAGTTATATTGTTACCATATTTTTTATAAACATTTATATTAAAATATAGTAAACATAATATTAATATACAAAATTATATTATAACAGTCCCTATATATATTAATCACATAATATTTATAGTTATTGTTATTTTTTTAATGGATTACGTTACAAACTTGTGCTCAGACCACTCAACAATAAGAATGAGAATAAATATAAACATTGATGTACAAAAGTAAACATTTTGTAAAACGAGTTTTGTAAGGATAAAATTGAGGTGAATGTAGATCAAAATATAGTTTATTATTCAAATGAAAAAAAAATTAGTAAACCACCAAAATATAGTTCATTATTCAAATAAAAAAAATACTAAAGCACCAAAAATATAGTTCATTATTCAACTAAGGAAAGTCAACTGAATTATTGTAATTCCTCAAAAATTTCAATTGGAAGAGAGTAATAGACACAACTGGAATAAAAACCAGGTTTATAAGTTAGGAGCAACATTAAAATGCCTATCACTATTGGCTTTGCCAATGTCACTATTGCCATTAAACAGGTTCTCTTTTGTAATAAATGATAGCAATGGGATACTACCGAAAATTGTAAAACAATAACCTTTGAGCACAACATATTTTGCCGCGGATTGTTTGTCATTTGCTTCATAGAACGAATATTCATGCCCCTCAAAATCTGCGAGCACAATATCAAATTCCAACCTTTTAACTCAATTCAATAAATTAAAACATCTGGAATTCTATGTGGCAACAGATTTACCATGCCATTGATATTCCATATCATTGTTCTTCTTGTGATGTAGGACTTGGTTTTCATCCCATGAGAGTTTAGGTATATTATTATCTTGTTACTCTCAAACATACTTCAATTATTCTTTTTGAGATGCTTGGGTTTTGTTTTTATTTTGTTAAGTATTTGTATTTTGCTTCACGAGTAATTATAAAAAGGCTCTAAAGGTCAAAAAAAATTCAAATAATCACATAATTGAAAGTTGAGAAAAAAACATGTACTATACATTTTCTTTCCTTTATTTTCCTTTGTGTGTCTTTATTTTACATCACACACACATAGATAAGTTTCTTTGATCCATTTATAAGCATGCAACAATTGTTGCATTTTTTTTTATAATAAGTTACTTTGACTCTATGGTGTTAATTTAATCTAATTGTTCATTAAGAAGTACCAACTCCATATTTTAAAAATTATTTGTTTCTTATATCTTTCAACATGTATGTTTATTATACTCCTATTATTTAATTTAGGATGTGTTTTCCTTGCAGTTGTAATCCAAAATTATTATCATGGGCAAATATTCCTCGTCTAATGAAGCTATCACACTAGTTTTAGTTGGACGTACCGGTAATGGCAAGAGTGCAACAGGAAATAGTATTCTCGGAAGGAAGGCCTTTGTCTCAAAGACAAGATCCTCTGGTGTAACAAGTGTTTGTGAATTGCAGAGAACTAATATGAAAGATGGACCAATTGTTAATGTTATTGACACCCCAGGTAAAGCATAATAACTTGCCATTAATTATATTGATTGTCTATTGGATTTGAGTTAAAAAGGGTTAGTTGGCTTTGTTCATTGAAAATTCTATCATGTATAAATCTGTGTTCTAGTTCCTTATAGTTAAACAATTTGTGTATTAATTCCATTATTTTTTTTCTTTTGGTATTTGATCCTTTTGAAATTCCTTATCATTTGTTTAGTTTGGTCTTTTTTTGAACCTTCTGCTAGCACAAAAACAAATGACGAGGAATATTATATAAATTAAAAAAATAAAAGAAAGTAGAAATAATTATATTTGCATGAAGTCAAAATATATTTAATCTTAAATCTAAAACCTAACATGTTATTTTAATTAGGACTATTTGCTGGAACTGATTCTGCGGGGAAGGAAATAGTGAAATGTATTGATATGGCTAAGGATGGAATTCATGCTATTATTTTGGTGTATTCTGTTAGAACTCGCTTTTCTGAAGAGGAACAAGCTACTTTTCTTACCTTACAAGCATTGTTTGGACACAAAATTGTTGACTACATGATTGTGATCTTCACTGGAGGGGATGAACTTGAATATAATGAAGAGACACTTGATGACTATTTAGGTCGCGAGTGTCCACAGCCTCTTAAGGTTTCATATTATTATCATTTTTTATCAATATATAACATGCTTAAATGAACATTTATGGCCTTAATTTAGTTTATGTTAAAGAAATAGTGAAATAAGAATCCATTTTATTAAAATCATTTAACTTTCTAAGTCTTAAATTTAAACTTTAGAATTTTATTGATTTTGATATAGCTTTAACATAATTGTAGGATATTTTGATTCTATGCGGAAATCGGAAGGTTCTTTTCGATAATAGAACTCAAGATAAAACAAAAAAATTAGGTCAAGTTCAACAACTTCTTAATCTTGTGAGCATGGTTATATCAGATAACTCTGGACGACCGGGGGATTCCATGTATTTTTCTTTTATTAGAAGTTATCCATTTTTCTATTTTCTCAAGTCTCCTAAGAGATGGAATTACAATTCACTTATGTTTTGATTCTAGCTCAATTCCAAGTTGCATTACTCTTTTCTACACCATAGTTTAGGTATATTATTATCTTGTTACTCTCAAACATACTTCAATTATTCTTTTTGAGATGCTTGGGTTTTGTTTTTATTTTGTTAAGTATTTGTATTTTGCTTCACGAGTAATTATAAAAAGGCTCTAAAGGTCAAAAAAAATTCATAGCAGTAAAAAATAAAGGAAAAGTTTTACTGCATTAACAAGTTTCACCCACACTTCGAAGTGAATTGAGACTTTTTAAGATTTGTGACTTTTAGATTTTCATAGATAGAGATATTAGCATAAAGAAGAGATTACATATACTTTTTCGCTGATATGACAACATAGAATAAAGAAGAAATTCTATAATGACTGATAAACTTTTTCGTTAACATGATAACACAGTTTATTTAAGAGTGACCTGTCATCGTAATAGAGTGGAACTTAACTTTTTTATATATTATAGATTGGTCTCCAAATGTGAATCTGTTTTCACAGCAATTGCTTAGTTCGGCTAATTAATATTTTGATTATTAAATCAATATTGCTTGCTAATTCATTTAAGATGTTGAATATGTATGATATATTAATCGAACTGGCTTCATTAATTTGGTTACAATTTCAGATTTTAGGATAATTCTAACTAACAAAGATGCTTGACTTTTTGCATTCTGGAGGTATCCTGGAATTCTAGAAATTTGGTAGTGTAAGGCTGTACGCACGTATTACGTACGCATCATTTCATTATGTTTATAACTTTTTTTTTTCTTGTCATAGAAGAGCCTCTGAGACAGCGTGGTCCAAACACATGATACAGCTAGTAAAATTGTCAACTGAAATCCCCGCACTACAAATCAAGTTCATAAGAATAAAATTCAAACTTTCAACTAAGCCATACCTCATCTTAGCTTCATGCAATATCTTAATACGAAACATGATGTATAAAGAAAAATGAAGCACAAGTAACATTTTTATAATCAATAAGATTTCAAAATAAATCAACAGAAGATTCTTTCACGTCAAGATATTAATATTCTAGTGTTGAAGAGAAGCAGAAGAAATCACATCACTGGCCTGCTTATTCAACTATTTCATTTTAAATTCAACGTGGTGCTTTCATTAGTTAGCTCAACTTTTGGCAATTGACTTCAACATATGTGCATTAGTATCCTAAGTTCTTCACATACACAACCCTGCATAAACTTGAGACCTTGAATTCTCCTGTATGCGTGATTAGAATCTTGCTAAGAAGTAGAAAACTAAGTTTAGGATATGGAAGTTATAACTACTACTAGCTTCTCATAAAAAAATCGCATCTGGGATGTGGAACCAAACATGCTCAAGGTTTTAAATTGCAATCACATTTGTCAAGTTTTTTGGTATTGCAGAAAATCGCAGACAAATGCAACTGATGTGACCATAATTACTGTCATGGAAACCTCCAAAGCCTTTGTGACCAATATCATAGCTGCAAACCGTTTTCGAAAACCTTGAACATGCTAAATAGCATATTTCTATACCTATCATTTCATTACCCAATATTATAACAATGGCAAAAGGAACACTCATAACCCTCCCAAGATTTCTTTGCTTGATGACCCTCTTCATCATGGCAAGTGCAAGTACACAATCCCCAAACTACATGGATGTTGACTGCCACCACTCAAAAGAACAAGCCCTCACCCTGACATACCAAACCAACCTTAACGAAACCCTCTCACAGCTCTCTTCTGATGCCACCACAGGCAAAGGATATAGCCACACCACCGCAGGAAATGGCACAGTTGATGCTGTGTATGGCCTCTATGATTGCAGGGGTGATCTCACAGGATATTTCTGCCAGTTCTGTGTCTTTACTGCGGCCTCAGAGATTCTCCAGCGCTGTCCTAACAGATCCTCTGCTGTGATATGGTACGACTACTGCATTCTCAGGTACTCAAACCATAACTTTATAGGGAATCTTACCACAACCCCATCATGGTATATTTCGGAGTCAAAGAACATCACTGATCCAGAAGAACCTCAGAAAGCTGAGGATTACATGCAAAGTTTGAGAAGAGAAGCCACTGTGGAGACCAACAAGTTATATGCAATGGGAGGGTTCAATTTGAGTCATGGAGAGGAAAGGTATGGGTTGGTGCAGTGCAGTAGGGACCTTACTAATGAGGAGTGCAGCCAGTGTTTGGAGGCTATGATAGACGAAGTTCCTCAGTGTTGTCGGGCAAAGCTAGGATGGCAGGTTTTGGCTCCAAGTTGTCTTATAAAGTATAGTGATTATATGTTCTACCAGATTACTAATCAGACATCTTCTCCTTTACCTAATCCAGGTACATATAAGTAGTGGATTAATTGTTCAACTTTTTTGCTTATTAAAACTATTTTGGTTTCTTGATTCTATCTTGCACTCTGCACTGCCCACTCAAGTGTGTCAAATTGCAAATTGAGAAACTAGTCTTTCAATTCTGTTTACTGGGTTGGTTAATTGGTTTTGTTAGTAAGACTAAAAGACTTGCTATGTGTAACTATCATGGTTAACTCTTAATTAAGTTTGTAATAATGGAGAGCCTATGGTTCCTAAATTTAAAAAGGACAACATAGTACTATAAACTCCTGTTACGATGGAATCAAGTGAAGGGTCTGAATCTGATTCGTTCAGAATTATATATTGGGAGAAAAGAGAAATAAGGGAAGAAAATATCTGTTATTAGCAATCTCAATGCCTCATTCAATACATGAGTATCCCATTTGTTTATGTGAGCAATAAGGAGGTTCAGGACCTATTTCATGTCATATATTGAAACGGTCATTCAGGCACACAGATCGAGGATTTAATATGTGAGCAATCAGCAGCAGTCAGGAAATTCTTATTTAAGTAAAAAAGGAGTTTGTTTGCAGAATATGTTAATTACTTTTGAAGAATTTTTCATTGTAAGTGTTTATTTTTATAATTTGCATTTTGATGTATTTAGAAAATGGAAAACAAAACTAAATAAAACTTATAACACATCTCCTATCAATAGGAATCCTTTGACAAATAACAAATCGGAAATTCCTTATATTATATCTGTGTATTTATGGAATGCATTTGGTTTATAAGAGAAAATAAATGACATGTTCATCTTCGCTAATGTTGCACTTGCAGCTAAGAAGGGAGGTACAATTAATTCAAAAACCTTGATCATTACCATAGTGAGTGTGTTGGTGGCGGTAGCTCTACTAAGTTTCTCTGCCTACTACTGGAGGTATCTGTCTAATAAAGGTAAATTAACATTACATACCCCCATGCTGAAAGTTCTCACCAATGGCAATAGTGCAAAATACAAACTGACAAGTTTCCTTGCTATATGCATTGCTATCAGACTCAGAGACCACTCCTTTATCTTTTCATGACCATATTCAAAGAGAGAATGCACTGAATGCAGACCTTCCTACAATCCCTTTAATCTGGATTCGCCAGAGCACTAATAACTTTTCAGAGTTGTCTAAATTAGGAGAAGGTGGATTTGGTCCTGTTTACAAGGTGTCATTGAATTTTGGATGTGCATGCAAGTTGTGTACAACTTTGCTTTGACTCTTAGTTGCTATAATTACTTATCCTTTTATTTCTTTTCAATGTTTTATTTCAGGGTAATTTAGAGGATGGAACCGAAATTGCTGTCAAAAGACTCTCTAAAACATCTGGTCAAGGTTTGGAGGAGTTCAAGAATGAAGTGATCTTCATAGCCAAACTGCAACATAGGAACCTAGTGAGACTACTGGGTTGCTGCATTGAGGAAAATGAAAAGCTGCTTGTGTATGAGTACATGACAAATTCCGGGCTTGACTCTCACCTGTTCAGTATGTTTTAACTAAACTAAATGCCTTCATTTTTTTCCTTTTTATTTTGTTTTTATTGTCTGTACAAGTCTGTGGAGAACTAGACATTAGCAGCTTTAAAATATTACTACGTGGTGGTAGTAGTTTGGAGGAGTAAGTTTATTGTCAAAATTAAACTTTCTATAAATATTCTCTCTGTACCTTTGATTGAAGAACCATATGTATATGATGGAACAGAATTAGAAAATTTCACTATTTGACAGCCTTCAAAATATTGCTTGCACGGCACGTGTCGTTAGTGAATCTTGTAGGACAGGTCATCCTTGCAAGACACTTTGAAGCACAATTTCTATCAAGAAACGAGTAAAATCTTTTGTAAACCACTTAAATACGCGACAAAGTATTGGAAGTGACAGAGTAACCTTGCTGTCGCAATCTATTGAGATTCAGCGCTTATCTCTTTGATTCGTCACACTTATTCCACTTGAGGTGTTAGATTGTGGGACATATGATACCTCAGAAAAGTCATTTTAAAATATAATGGTGTCCCATTATCTTATATTATGGACATTAAGTCTGGTGTTTTTGTCAGAATTCGTGCTTCTATTAGCACATTGTGCATATTGCAATCTAAATGTAGTTATACATGCAATGAGATTTCTTGAAAAGATGGAAAAAATAAAAGTTCCTCAATAACACAAATTCCATGTACAACTTTGTTAATTGTTTTCTGCTCCATATATTAGTGTTAACAAACCTTTCCTCTGTCACTTGCATGTAGATCAGGAAAAAAGAAAGCAACTAGATTGGAAGCTACGACTGAGGATTATTAATGGAATTGCAAAAGGCCTTTTGTACCTTCATGAAGACTCTAGACTTCGAATAATACATAGAGATATGAAAGCTAGCAATGTACTTCTGGATCAAGAGATGAATCCAAAAATATCAGATTTTGGATTGGCAAGGACATTTGAAAAAGGCCAAAGTCAGGAAAATACAAACAGAGTCATGGGCACCTAGTATGTATTAGAGCATGTTTGGATAAAATCTTAGAAGGGTCTTTAAGAACTCTATTAAAAAATACTCTTTACTTTCAGTAGAAAAACTTTCAAAAACCCTTCCACACCTATCCAAACATACTCTTAGTCATAACTTTTTTAGCATGACATGTTAATATGTAACTAATTACACAAATTATCTATTTTAATTGTTCTTTTAATTTTAAACAGTGGATACATGGCTCCAGAATATGCTATGGAAGGGTTATATTCAGTGAAATCTGATGTTTTCAGCTTTGGAGTTCTTTTATTAGAAATCATATGTGGAAGAAGGAATAGTGGATTCTATCTTTCAAACCATGGTCAAAGTCTTCTACTATATGTGAGTTTTCCTGCTATCATATCATTAAAACATTTGTATCTGTTTCAAGTTGAATTTCTAATCATTTTCATATTTGCATGCAGAGTTGGAGACTTTGGTGTGAAGGAAAAAGCTTGGAATTGTTAGATCCAATGCTAGAAAAGACATACAAAGGCAGTGAAGTTATGAAGTGCATACACATTGGTTTGTTGTGTGTTCAGGAAGATGCAGCAGATCGACCAACCATGTCCACAGTTGTTGTCATGCTGGCAAGTGACACAATGGTCCTTCCAAATCCTAATCATCCTGCGTTTTCAGTTGGAAGAAAGACCAAGGAAGAAGAATCAACATCAAAAACTTCCAAGGATCCTTCTGTTAATGAAGTAACAGTAACAAATATTCTACCCAGGTAGTGGTGGATAAGCATGGCACAAAGCTTAGAGTATGTTTGGATACAATTTAGAAACACATTTAAAATTTAATAGTGTGTTTGAATTTTAAATTCTTTATAAATTCTCAATCCAAATAAAATATTTCACATCAAAAAATTTGAAAATTTTCAAACAAATGAATTACTATGACAGTAGTTTATAAGTAAATTTTTTTCTGTGAAAATATAACAGCTATTACCCATATTATATTTTCATTAATAAATTGTTACACTAGTGTTTTCATTGATAATAACACCACAAGCACCTCTAGAATAGAGCCAATGTTTTGTCCATATGAAAATGTCTTCCTCCGTCTCTTCTAATTGCTTTCAAATCGGACTCATGAGTTCAAGAATTACTCTACCGGAATCCTCCTCCCTCCATTGAGCTTAATTTAATATTTTATCTGTTTAAATACATTTTTCGAGAAGCATTTATGAAAAAACTGAAGAAAAAATGAATTAATATTAATGTCATGGGCAATACATAACATAAAAAGAAGCATCTATATATAACCACTTTTGGAATTTTCGCCATTACCTTGGTCTTTGTAGTTTGTATTTTGTTTACGTAGAGAAGCTTACATCAGAAATAATCACTGAATTAAATGGAATGCTATCAAAATTCTTGAAAAAATCACACCAATAACAATCGTTAATGTTAATGTTAATGTGCTCCATATAATCTCATTTATTACAGTAATATTTTATTTATACCATATGTGTCATATATTTTTTCTTTCATGCATTATTTAACTATCAAAATTAAAAATAAAATATTTACTAAAAAGTTGGACAATTTTAGTAAATTTGTATAAAAAATGATACATCTATTATTATAATTTGATGGTCACGAGGATATTAATATAAATGAAAGGAGAATTGTCAAAATTAAAATTATACAAAATAAACATATATTTTAAACACATATGAGAGTGACTGGGAGGCTTTTGTTGAAAAACCAATCTAAATTTTTAATCATTAATCAAGAGGTGGATTGAATCCCACTATTATAATGAGATGTAGGTCAGAGATGAGAGTGAAAGATATATATTAATTCAGTCTTGGACAATTTCAAAGCTGGGGAGAGTGTACAATTTTTGGCTCTTTTTTATTATTATTTATTTGTGTGTAAACTAATAGGACGTTTTAACTAACCGTGCCCTTTAAAATTGACTTTCGTTCTTGTACTTAAAAAAAAATACCTACTTACTTTTTTTTAAAATTATCTTTGAATTTGTGAAATAAAATTCAGAAATTATTCAATTTATCATAAAAAATTTATTTATTAATATTTTTATTAATAAAAATAATACATTAAACTTTGTTGATGTTATATAAATGATTCAATTTATCATTATTATTAATGTTATCAGTGGTCGTAAAAGATTAAGACAATTTTTTTAAAATTTACAAAAAAAAAACAAAAGATCAAATTTTAATCCGAGAGATAAAAATAATTTTACCCCAGTTTTAAAAGACTAAGAACAAAATTTCTGAATTTCAAAGGAATTAAAACATAATTAAATCATAAATTTATTATCCAATATAATTGGCGAAAGATATTTTCCCACAAATATGTGAAGTCAAGATCGGAA